GGAAAGAAATAGGGTGAGAAAGAGATAGAAAGTAGGAAAGCCTCCAGGTCCAGGACTTGAACCGTGGTTGGCCATGTAGGAGTCCAGTGCCTTTACCACCACACCACCAGGCAGCCCCATTTTGAGAGAGATTTTTGCTATAGGGCGCAGCATTTGCTGGACAGACAGACAGTAGGAAATCACCCTCCGGGGAAGATGGCCACACTGCAATCCCTTCTCCTCTTGGGATGTTGGGCATGCATGCACATGTGCCTGGTATGAGTTGTAAGTCGCAAGATCTGGGACTTGAACTGCGCTTGACTACATGAGATTCCATTGACGTAACCATTATGCCATCTGGTCTTGATAGTTTTCTTTTGAAAAGCATGTAATATTAAATTAAAATTTTCCTGGGGTGTAGATATAGCAATACAGAAATACCTTCAACCTCAGCTCTTTCCTCTTTGTGTCAAAATGCATAATATATGTGTACTATTTCCTGTTGGATAGCATAATATTTTTACTTGTTTGCCAAAATCCCCCTCATGCTATTTACCCTTTGAACTTCCTTAGGTTTTTATATGGTTTCTAGTTTGGAGTTTTACTTTCAGTCATTTCCGTAGCATTTTAGTTCTGGAGATAACTCTAGAATGAGTAAGAGACTTGCTGCAATCTTTCTATACAGTATATAACTTTATCTCATTCTTGTTAATGGCTGTATAGTAACCCATTGTATAAGTTTAAGATAATTTACTTCTCTGGTTTCTTAATGATTATGTATCTTTAGATCATTTTTAGTTTTTTTGTTATTAGAAATAGCTACAGGGACCAGCAGTTAGCGTAATGGCTATGTCGCTGGACTCCCACGTAGTCGACCACGGTTCGAGTCCTAGACCCGGTGGCTTAAAACTCACACCAGGCACGTGTGCATTCGTGCCCGACCAAGATCCCGAGAGGAGAATGGAGGAGAAGGGATTGCGGCATGGCCATCCCCCCTGGGGGGTGATTTCTCACTTTCTGTCTCTGTCTCTCTCTGTCTGTCTGGTGAGCGCACGCGCCCTATAGTGAAAAACCTCTCAAAAAAAAAAAAAAAGAAAAGAAAAGAAATAGCTACAGAGGGACCAGCAGATGGCAAGTTTGCTGGACTCCCATGTAGTTGACCACAGTTCAAGCCTTGGACCTGGTGGCTTAAACTCACACCAGACGCATGTATGTGCGTGCCCAAGATCCCAAGAGAATGGAGGAGGAGGAGAAGGGATTGCGGCATGGCCATCCCCCCTGGGGGGTGATTTCTCACTTTCTGTCTCTGTCTTTTTGGCAAGCACACACGCCCTATAGCAAGGATCTCTCCCCCGCAAAATAAAGAAATAGCTACAGAAAATATTGTCAGCATATCTTTGTCTACCTTTGAGTATATCAGTAGGACATTGCTGGTTCAAATTAAAGTTTATAATATTGCCAAATTTGTCTTTAGTACGGTTGTACTAATTTATCACCACCTGTATATGAAAATGCCTATTTCTCCATATCCTTGCAATTGTTACATATTATAAGAGTTTTTTATTTGTTGGTTTGTTTTTTTTAGAGAGATTTTTGCTATAGGATGCATGAGCTCACCAGAGAAACAGAAAGAGACAGAGAGATAGAAAGTGAAAAATCACCTCCTAGGGCAGGAGGAATGGCCACACCAAAGTTCCTTCTCCTCCTTTCTACTCTTGGGAGCTTGGGCACACATGTACACATGCCTGGCATGAGTGTTAAGCCACCTGGTCTGGGACTCAAATCACGGTTGGCTATGTGGGAGTCCAGCAATATATCCATTATGGCATCTGCTGGTCCCTATAAGAATTTTTACTTTCCATAATCCGATAGGCTAAAAATTATAGATTCATCACAAATAGAGTTACATTTTAAAACTTGTGAGTGAATTTGACCACATTTTCATATACTTATTGGTTCTTTGTACTTTCACTGACAACTCTGGATTTGGGGTATGTTATCAATGAATGTGGCTTCAGACTGAAAAAAATGCTCTGTGCATATAGGGTGTTAATGAGATGTCTGTGGCTGTGATGTCTTCCCCATTTCCCACCTTGAAACTTTTCTCTTAATTTCAGGTGATCATGGAGCTCAGCTTGGTCTCCATGGGGCTGGTGGTGATGGAATACATGATGACACAGCAGGTGGAGAGGAAGGAGAAAACAGCCCAGACACCCAACCGCAAGCTGGCCGGAGGACCAGGCGGGAAGCATGCACCTGCCCCTACTGTAAAGACAGTGAAGGAAGGTGAGTTGATCCTACCAGTCTCTTAATATAAAGAAAAATGAATTGATTTGGAAGTAAAAGGAAAATAGTTAATTTTTCTTTTTTTTCCTTCCTTCCTTTCTTTCTTTCTTTTTTCTTTTTGGAGAGATTTTTGCTATAGGGCATGTGCACTTGCTAGAAAGACAGACAAGAGAGTCAGAAATCAAGAACTCACCTCCCCAGAGGAGATGGCCACGCCACAATCTCTTCTTCTCCATTCTCCCCTTGGGATTTTAGGCACATGACCTGACTTGAATTTTAAGCCTCCGGGTCCAGGACTCAAACCATAGTCCCACTACATGGGAGTCCAATGACATAACTATTATGTCATCTGCTGTTCCAGAGAGTTGATTTTCTAAAAGTATTTCAGACTCCACAGTGTTGCAGAGGGAATAGTACAGTACTTTAAAATATTTCTGACCTGGTTATCTTGAAACATACCAAACATGTATGCACGTGCCCAAGATCCTAATGAACTAAAGGACTGAAGAGAAGGGGATTGTGGTGTAAAGATTCTGTGGAGGATAATTCTCTCTCTTTCATGTGCGTGCACACACTTTATCAGGAATTAAAAAAAAGGAAAAACCACAATCAGGGCTAGCCATAATGACACACAGGTTGTGTCACCTGCTAGGCTGGAAGCTGCATGGGAAGCCTGGCTGCTGGATGCTGCTGTGCGTGCCTGTAATCCCAGCTTGTTGGAAGGCCAGGGCAGGAGGATCCTGGTACAATGAGACTCTATCGCAACGCTCATCTCTGTTTCTCTCCCCTTCTCTCTCTGTCCCTCTCATCTCCACCCCTCATAAAAGCAGAAAAAGAGAAAAGACAGCAATCAGTTAATAAGTTAATATTTTATCTTTATTTATTTATTTATTTTGGGAGAGGTTTTTGCTATAGGGCACGTGTGCTCTCCAGGCAGAGAGAGACAGAAAGCGAGAAATCACCCCCCTGAGGGGATGGCCATGCTGCAATCCCTTCTCCTCCATTCTCCTCTCAGGATCTTGGGCACTCATGCACACGTCCCCGGCGTGAGTTTTAAGCCACTGGGTCCAGGACTTGAACCACGGTTGGCTACATGGGAGTCTAGCAACATAGCCATTATGCTAACTGCTGGTTCCAATATTTTATCTTAAAAATAAATTTTGAGTTAGTTTTGAGCAGCTTGGGTGATTGTTACTAATACTTTGTGGTTCTTTAATTTCTGTCTATAGAATGAATAGATTAATAGTTCTGTTCTCTCACTTTCAGGGGCTCTGGGGATCCTGGCAAAAAGAAACAGCACATTTGCCACATCCAAGGCTGTGGCAAAGTATATGGCAAGACCTCACACCTCCGAGCACACTTGCGCTGGCATACAGGCGAGAGGCCTTTCATGTGTACCTGGTCATACTGTGGAAAACGCTTCACACGTTCGGATGAGCTACAGAGGCACAAACGCACACACACAGGTAAGGAACCCAGAGAGGTGACATGGTGGTTAAGGTGCTGGACACTCCCACATGACCAACCACAGTTCAAGTCCTGGACCTGGAAGTTTGCTTTCTCACTTTCTCTCTCTCTCTCTGTGTCTCTCCCTGGTCAAATTAAAATAAATAAATAAATAATAAAATCAAATAAATAATTACTTTTTTAAAAAAGGAGCCCAGAGAGGAGAGAAGTATTAATAGACCAAAATGAAGAGAAACAAAATATACCTAAGCAGTAAACAAAATTTCTAAGCAATTTATGCTTGAAACCATATATAGAAGTCATAAATGAATTGCCATTTATCTAGGAAATTTTTAAGGAGGTAAATTTTGAGTAGAATTTTTTTTTTTTCAATTTGTCAGAGGGCATGTACATTCACTGGAGAGAGAAGGGGAAAGAGAACACCCCTCCTTGTGTCGGGGGGGGGTAAATGCACACAATTCCTTCTCCATTGTTCCCTACTTTTGGAATTTGTGTGCCTGACATGTTTCTCAAGCCACTAGATCTAGGACTTGAATTGTTCAGTTGACCATGTAGAACATGGCCTTAACCAACACACCTCTGGCTGGCTCTCCAGTGAGATTTTCTTTTGTTTTTAAGATATTTTTGAGGGACCAGCAAATGGTGTAGTGGTTACGTCTCTGGACTCCCGCAGTAGAGTCCCAGACCAGGAGCTTAAAACTCACAGTGTGGGGACCAGCAGATGGCATAATAGTTACATCACTGGACTCCCACATGGTCAACCACAGTTTGAGTCTCAGACCCAGCGATGTAAACCTCTCGCTGGGTGCATGTGTGTGCGTGCCCTCAATCCTGAGAGGAGACTGGAGGAGAAGGAATTGCGTTGGGGCCATCCCCCGGGGGGGGTGATTTCTCACTTTCTGTCTCTCTCTCTCTCTCTCTCTCTGTTTGGTGAGCACATACCCTATAGCAAAAATCTCACTCTTAAAAGGACTCAAACAGTGATCAGCAGTTGGCATGATGGCTATGTCGCTGGACTCCCGTGTAGTCGACCACGGTTTGAGTCCCAGACCCAGTGATGTAAACCTCCTGCTGGGTGCATGTGTGTGTGCCCTCAATCCTGAGAGGAGACTGGAGGAGAAGGAATTGCATTGGGGCCATCCCCCGGGGGGTGATTTCTCGCTCTCTGTCTGGTGAGCACACACCCTATAGCAAAAATCTTGCTCTTAAAAACAAACAGGGACCAGCAGTTGGCATGATGGCTATGTTGCTGGACTCCCGTGTAGTCAACCACGGTTTGAGTCCCAGACCCAGTGGCTTAAACTCAGGCCAAGCGTGTGTGCATGCCTGCCCAAGATCCTGGGGGGAGAAGGGATTGTGGTGTGCCCATCCCTCTTGGGAGGTGATTTCTCACTTTCTGAAACAAACAAACAAATCTCACACTGGGCATTTGTGCATGTGTGCCCCAAAATCCCAAGAGGAGATTGTGACATGGCCATCCCCCCCCATGGGGTGATTAATCACTTTCTGTCTCTCTTTCTCTTCAGCCTGCATACATACCCTATAACAGAAATCTCTCAATAATAATAAGTAAAAGTAAATAAATAATTCTTTAAGTTTGCTGTAGAGCATGTGTGCTCACCAGAGAGAGAGGGAGAGAAAGAAGCAAGCTACAAGGTAGGGCACTTGAACCATGAATGGTTGTGTGGGAATCTAGCACCTTAACCACCATGCCACCTGCTGGCCCCCCCAGGTTTTTATCACCTTCTAAGACTGGGCATATTTTGCCTAATATAATTAGAGGGCAGCGAATTGGCAAGGTAACTGCACTTTCTGACATGTTAGCTTTTTATCTTCTCTTTTCCTTTGCCTAGGTGAAAAGAAATTTGCCTGCCCTGAGTGTCCTAAGCGCTTCATGAGGAGTGACCACCTGTCAAAGCATATCAAGACCCACCAGAATAAGAAGGGAGGCCCAGGTGTAGCCCTGAGTGTGGGCACTTTGCCCCTGGACAGTGGGGCAGGTTCAGAGGGCAGCGGCACTGCCACCCCTTCAGCCCTTATTACCACCAATATGGTAGCCATGGAGGCCATCTGTCCAGAGGGTATTGCCCGTCTTGCCAACAGTGGCATCAACGTCATGCAGGTGGCAGATCTGCAGTCCATTAATATCAGTGGCAATGGCTTCTGAGATGAGGCACCTGGGGCCAGAGACATATGGGCCATACCCATCAACCCTGGGATGCAAGGTAGCATGGGTCCAAGAGACATGTGGGAGAGAGAGCCATGAGGCATTAAAATGCATGGTGGTGGGAAGAATTGGGGGGAGGAATGCAAGAGAAGAGACGGGGTCCTGGCACCCACCTGTATTCATCAGTGCCTCCCTGAAGGTGGGAAACATTAGTGAAAATCCTGTTGGTGCCACCCTTTGACGAGGGTGAGCATTTGTTTGACCCTAGTTTCTTCTTAACTTCTTACCCCAGCCTCCCCTTCCTATGTTTCCCTTCTCAGCTCTCCCATGATGGATCCCCCCTTTCCTGAAGCCATCATGCCTTGATAAAAATATATATGATCATTGAAATACTTTTTAACAAAAAACAGATTCTATATTATATATATTATATATATAAAAAGATATATAGAGATGCATTCACAGGGGTTGGCTGGGAGGAGGAAGGAGACCATTCTGTGACCAAAATACCTTGGTCATTTTTTATATTGCCTTATTTCCCTATGGCTGAGCCTTGTTGTGACACATCATGCTTTTCTGTAGATGTTGTCTTGGCTTCCCACCGATTAAGCATTCATATGCTCTGCTTTTAGTTTATATTTACATACATAATGTTTTTCCTTCCTTAATTTTGTCTTTTTATTTGGGATCAGCTTCTTGCACTCCTTTCCTGACTCAACTCTTTCTGTTCCCCCTTCTCTCACCAGATCATTTCATGTTTTGTTTTTGGTAGTGATTCTTGCATAAGGCACTTCAATCTTTAAAGGCCTTAGACCCAACAGCAGAATGGAAAACCCTTGCAGCTCAGGCTGATGCTTCAGATAGCTCTGAAGGGAGTGATCAAAATACTACTGACGCAGGCACCTTCTTGGTGCTGGAGAGTCAAAGGTGTCTCCCTTCATTAGTTGCTCTAAGCATTAAGAGTTAGAAATCTTTCTGTGGAATTGTGTAAGAGACCCTGGATCAGTTGATATAAACTGTAAAAAAAATTGGCCAAATAATAAGCAGGGAGTTTTAGTAGGAAATGAGGTGCTCAGAGGAGGACGTGACTTATAATAGTTGGATTCAGGACTTAGTGAAGTATCTGGACTTTGGTGCCCTTGTCTTCCAAGGTAGCTCCATGCTTTGATGCGTGGGCTTCTGGGTACACGTTCTGAAAGGAAATAAACCTCCTCTTTTGAACATCCCCCGTAGTTTCTTTCCCATTGTGTTGTAAAGGAACATCAGCCATGAATCTGGTCCAGGTTTCCATTCTGCAGAACCCAGAGCATGTACTAGTGGCAAGACAGTGATTCTTAGGATCTTTTCCCTTAATTCTTCCTTGTATGTCCTTGGTTGGTTCCTAAGGGAAAAGGCAGCACATGATCTTGGGAATGATAGCCCAGAACAAAAAAAAATCTTGTCTTACCACTGTGGTTTATAGGAGAGATTGGGAGAAATCATCCTGCTTTCTCCGTGGCCTGATTCTAGAAGAAACTGATCCAAAATTTTAGCGGCAGGGAACTCTTAGTGCATTTGCCACTGAGATTTAAATGCAACCAGAATTGTCCTCAAGGCCCAGCCATTAAAAACATTGTCTCTCTTGACCTTTTGGTATCTTGTTAGAGAGCTTTTCACTGTGAGGAAGTGTGGAAATGGCTGCGTGTATGTGTGTAACTGTTAGGTTGGGGATAGGTTTTCTGTTAGCCAATACTAAAAAAGACCTGCAATAAAAAGTTACCCTGATCTGATAGAAAGTGACGTGTTTGTGTATGACTGTGTGTGCGAATGTGTGTTTATGCTTGAATGTATCTACACACAGATGAGAAATTATATTTGAAACTGTTGGACAATAAATCAAATTCAGATCAAAATGCTTTTCAGGCCCATTACCTAGAAATATATCTTAAAACCTGGGTATATTCATGAAGTAATTTCTCTGTTGATACTAAATCAGTTACAATTATGAATGGGGGAATATTCTTCTACTCTTTTAAAGAAGGAACTATTTTTGTGTTTCAAAATGAACCCAACATTCAGATCTATAGCATGTCTTTTTTTACCTTGGCTACAAATAGATGATGCTATGATTCTACTATATATTTTATATAAAATCCATCCAAATTAGGTTTTGGGTAAGTTTATGTTGTTGTTTAACTTAAAATATAATAACTGCTAATACTCTGAACAGTAGTTCACTCCATTTGATCCTTTTTCTGCAGACTTAATACTGTTTTCAACACTCAGGAACTAATGCAAGGAACTTTCCCCAGATCAAGTTTTATTGATGCTGAAGTCATCCATGCCCAGCCACTGTCACATTCTTTATTCCCACTGAAAGGCAGAACTCAGAACCCATTATTTTATATTTGTAATCATGTATATTGGCATCTTTCGAAGGAAAGGGACAGGGTAATTCACTGGACTGTGCAGTATTTTGCTAGAACATTTCAAGAAATGGAGTCTTCTCCAGTTTGGAATTATTGTAAACAAGCTTAACGATGCTGAGGATGACAGGCATTTAGATGGTTATTTGATAATGTGTCTCTCTTGGATGGAAAGCTGTTGGTTTCATCCCCCTTGATTAGCATTACCATGTGTGAATTTATATCCAGTTCTTTCCACTTTCTCTAAGCTCCAGATCTGGTATCTTGTTTGGCCCTTACACAGAAGTTTCTGCTTTTGTCTTCCAACAGCAGGGAACCATTCAGTCTTTTTCACAGGAAGTTAGGAGCCTACCTGCCTTGAGTCAGGAGCTCATTACTTAAAATACTTTTTTCTTGAACTTTTGGCCAGCAGAAGTTAATGTAACTGACATATTGATTCTGGATATTTTTTTTTTTTTGGTAAGTTTTTTAAATGACCAAACCTTGCAGGGCTGAGAGATGCCAAGAGCAGGGTGATACAAAAGCACTCATTCCCTTGTCCTTTTGGGTCGTCCATTCATATTCATCTGTTTATCATTGGACTGTCTCACTTTTTACCCAGAGCAATAACAACCCACACCATCTTTCTTCAGAGACCTCCCAGCTGGCACTCTTGTCTGTGGGTGCTCTGTAGGATGAATTTAATGATTTATTTCTCAGCCTGGTTCAGAATAAGTAGAACCTTTGATCCCAGAAAGTATGGACTGAAGTGTGGGGTATAGATTATGATTGGGGGAGGGTTGGAGACAAAAGCTGTAATTACTATGGCTGATTTATTTCTACTATATACATATATATATTTTTGGCTTTTGTATATCCTATATAGGAATCTAAGCATTGTATTTTTTTAACAAATCTGAGAAAGCACTATGAACTGCAGGTGTTTGACTTTCAGAATATATTTTGTATTGTTAAATCTTCACATTGTGTGAATACTGGAAGCTGCAGATCTTTGCTAGGACGCAATAAATTTATATACTTTATGAGGGGTTCTTCTGGGGGGTGCTAATCAGGCCCCTATTATGCCTTGGGGGAGCCCTGGTGCTACTTGCTTAAAGTTTTTACTTATTTGTAAGTACCCTGATGCCTTTTTGACCTTGGGATCAGATCGGGAGTTTGAGAGATCAGGTACCCAGGAAATGAGGACAGTCTAGCTGCCTCAAGTGAGGAGCCTTTTGCATAGCTCTCCCTTTCCCTAGCCGAAGCTGGGTAGCCTCCTGGGATTGGGAGGAGAAATGTGAAATCTCAAAGTCCCATCTTCCCTTAGAAGAGAGCCAGTAACTTATGTACAAGGATGAAAGGTGGCAGCAGTAGCTTTGGGGAAAGGGAGGAAGATATGGCACTTCTCCAGCCCCGGAAACATTGCTTTTGAAAACTGCTGATAAAATATAGACAGGTTATTACTTTTGTTTGGGAGACTGTGCTCTCTCTGGTGCCTCTCTCGGCTCAGTTCCAGGGCTACAGACCTCTTCTAGGAGGACAAGCAGACCAGCTTTGAGGTTGACCTGTTTCTTTTCTTGTCTGCCTTCCCCAAACACCAGCCCCCAGGAAGACATTAAGCAGCCTTAAGCTTAAATTCCTACTCCCTCTTCCAGATTTGGCTCACTCACCTTAGATTAAAGGCTGAGAAAGAAAAAGGGGTGTCCCTGGCTTCATTCCTCTCAACTCTTTTCCATTCTGATTTCCCCAAACAAAAAGATTTCCTCCACATCATCCATCTTGAGAGAAAGGAGTATTGTCCTATTTTCCCTTTCCTCATTATCAGACAGCCCCAGCCTTCCTTTTCTGTGCTAAGGGAGTAGGAAGTGTGGTCTGTCCCTCAATTCCCCTGAGACCCAACTCAGTGTCAGGAAAAAAACGTAACAAACGAGATTAGGCTGGGGGTACAGGTAGCGAGGACTTTGTCAGTACCTCTTGGGGTGTGTGTGTTTTCTTGTAGTCGCTTTCAGGAATTACTCCGTGCCTTCTCCACTGGGGAATGGGCTTTGTCTATCCAGCCCTCCACTTGCCCAGCAACTGCTCATGAACAGTGTGGACAGAGCAGTCTTCACATTTCTGATCATCCCTTTCTCCTAGTAACATCCCATAGCCCTTACCTAGAGTCTAAGGCACAAAGACTTTGGGGAAAGTATGACCTGAGGATACCCCCATCTGTGTATACCCCAGAGCCTGCTTCCTCTTCCCTAGTCCATCTTTCTGGGGGTCGGGGGAGGGAGGGGTGGTGCTTCAATCTCTGGTGCCTAAAACAAGTTTATTTCTGTCTCTTAACACTGGCAATAACCAGTCTCCATACCACTGTTGCCTTTTAAATTTCTTAATAATCTCATGCTGTGTTTGTTGTTGGTTTCAATCTAGTGATCACCAGGGCTTGTGTGGATAAATACTTTTAAATGCTCTCTCATCTTGCTCCCCCTCCCCCTGTATGTATGATGCTAATCTCTCTCAGTTTCTTCCTGTTCCTTTTATATCTGTCTTCCTTTCTTGTCTCTCCCCCTACCTTTTGTCTCTGGGTATTTGGGGGCTCTTCCCCCGCCCCTTTTGTACAAAGATTAGTTTCAATGTAGTCTGTAGCTCCTTTGTAAACCAATTAAAAAGTTTTTTAATAAAAAGCCATGTCTCTGGTGTATTGAGAGGGTTGGGATGGGAAGTACATGGTTATTATAATTTGATATCCTGGACCCCTCAAAGGTTTCCGGCTATACTGTGTTGTGCTTCCATACATTAATTAGTACAGTTACCCTATACTTAACCACCAGAAAACAGTTTCACCAGATTAGTGTGCCACGGCTATATAGAAATGTGGGAGACCAAGAAGAACAGGGGCAGCTCCAACTTTTTTTTTTTTTTTAGGTATTTGCCATAGGGTGTATGCTCTTGCACTGGAGGGAGGGAAGAAAGTACCTCCCAGTGGGGCGTGGCCACACCATAATCCTTTAAGCATTTCTCAGTCCTTCTGGGATTTACAGCATTCTTGCGCACTTGCAGGGCATATTTTTGAAGCCATTCTGTTGGGATTTGAACCATAGTCAACCATGTGGGATCCAGCTATCTAACCACTAGGCTTTGGGGCTGGTCCTCCCAACTTTTTTGTTCCCAAGAGGTTTTTGCGCTTGGGGAGAGAGCAAGAAGGAAAGTGAGAAGTCACCCCCCAGGGAGGATTCCCATACAATAATCCCCTCTCCATTCTCCTCCTGGGATATTGGGCACTCACTCATACACCCTGTGTGTCATTTTTCAAGCCACCAGGTCCAGAACTCGTACCTTAGCCTTATGGGAATTCAGCGACATAACTGCTACTCCACCTGCTGGATTCCCCCCAACTTTTTAAAACATAAACATTTTATTTTAGAATAATTCCAGGTTGGGACCAGCAGTTAGCGTAATGGCTATGTTGCTGGACTCCCATGTAGTGGACCGTGGTTCGCGGTAATTTGAGCCCTGGACCTGACAGCTTAAAAAATCATGGTGGGGGGACCAACAGATAGCATAAAGGTTATGTTGCTGGACTCCCATATAGTCAACTGCAGTTTGAGTCCTGGACCTAGCAGTTTAAAACACACGCCAGGCAAGTGTGCATACGTGCCCAAAATCCCAAGAGGAGAATGGAGGAAATGGGAATGTGGCGTCACCACCCCTTCCCTCCCGGAGATGATTTCTCACTTTCTGTCTCTCTGTCTCTGTCTCTCTGGAGAGCACAAGCACCCTAGAGCAAAAATCTCCCCAAAATAATAATGCTGGGGGGCAGGGCGGCAGGTGGTGCAGTGGTTAGTGGTGCTTGGACTCCCACATGGCCAACCACAGCTTGAGTCCTGGACCTAGCAGCTTGCTTTCTCACTTTACCTCTCTCTCTCCTCTGGGAAAATAAAAATAAATAAAGTTAAATAAAAATAATTCTTAAAAACAATCATGCTGGGTACGTGTGTGCATGCCTGTACGTGTGTGCCCAAAATCTGGACAGGTGTGACTATCTCCCCCTGGGGGTGATTTCTCATTGCCTGATCTCTCTCTAGCAAGTACACGTACGCTATGGCAAAAACCTTTAAAAGAAAAAAAAGAATTGGAGCCCGCAAATGGCATAGTGGTTACTTCACCAGACTCCCATATGGCCAACCACAGTTTGAGTCCTGGACCCAGTGGTTTGAAACTCAGGCTAGGCACATACATGTGCATGCCCATGAGTCTAGGAGAATGGAAGAGAAGGGATTGTGACGAGGTCATTCCCCAGGGAGAGGAGTGATTCCTCACTTTTTGTCATTTATTTCTGTCTCTCCAGTGAGCACACATACCCTAAGGCAAAAAAAATCCAAAAACTTAAAAAAGCGGGGGAGGGTAATAGTACCTACATTTATATTATTTTAAATTCTTAAAAGTTAGATTTTTTGGGACAAGCAGTTGGCATAATGGCTATCGCTGGACTCCTATGTAGTTGACCGTGGTTAGAGTCCTGGACCTGGTGACTTAAACTCAAGCTGGGTGCGTGTGCGTGCGTGCCCAAGATCCCAAGAGGAGAATGGAGGAGAAAGATTTGCGGTGTGACCAGCTCCCCTGGGGGGGTGATTTCTCGCTTCCTGTCTCTCTGTTTGTCTCTGTCTTTCTGGTGAGCTCATGCGCCCTATAGCAAAAATCTCTCCCCAAAAAAAGAAAGTTCAATTTTTTTTTTCTAGGTTTTTGACATAGGGCATATGCATTCTCCAAAGACAGAGGGGAGGTGAGAAATCACCCCCCCCCTTTCCTCAGAGGGAAAATGGGAACACCACAATCCCTTCTCTATTCTCTTACGATTTTGTGCATGCACCCACTCTCAGCTGAGGTGATTTTCAAGCTGGTGGGTCTGGGGCTTATACCACAGTCAGCGATCTGGGAATCCAGTGCCTTAATCACCACACCACCTGCTGGCCTCAAGTAAGGAAGTTTTACCTCTTTCTCATTTACTTATTTGATCATTTACATTAGTATGTGTTCATATGCATTTATTTTATACTTGGATTGTAATCCAATAGTACATTTTGTTGCTCAAGTTGTCCCAGCTTTGGCCATTGGGAGTTTTTTTTTTTTTTTAGAGTTATTTAATTTTATTATTATTTTTTTAGAGAACTATTTTATTCAACTTTATTTATTTTAGTTTGACCAGAGAGGGACAGAGTGAAAGAGAGAGAAAGTGAGAAAGCAAGCTGCCGGGTCTGAGACTCGAACCGCAGTCGACCATGTGGGAGTCCAGTGCCCTTAACCACCATGTCGCCTGCCGGCCCCTATTATTACTATTATTTTAATAATTATTTTAGACTTTTCCTGTAGGGTGCATGCGCTTGCCATAGAGACAGAAAGTGAGAAATTACATCCTGGGGGATGGCTACTCCACAATCCTTTCTCCTCCATTCTCCTCTTGGGATTTTGGGCATGCGTGCACATGCACCAGAGTGAATTGTTTTTTGTTTCTTTTTGTTTTCAGAGGTTTTTGCTATAGGGTGCATGCATTCTCCAGAAAGACAGAGAGACAGACAGAAATTGAGAAATCATCCCCCGGGGGGATGGCCATGCCGCAGTACCTTCTCCATTCTCTTGGGATCTTGGGCACGCATAAACTCGCGCGCGGTGTGAGTTTAAGCCACTGGGTCTGGGACTCGAACCACAGTCGACTACATGGGAGTCCAGCGACAGCCATTATGCCAACCGCTGGTCCCTCTCCGCCCCCCCGTGAGTTTTAAGCTACCAGGTTCGGGACTCAAACTGTAGTTGACTACATGAGAATCCAGCAACATAAATACTATGCCATCTGCTGGTCCCATTATTATTAATTTTTAAATTTGACTCAAAAGAGACAAGAGGTGGGGGGGTTGGGGTGAGGAGGGAATGAGAAAGCAAGCCTCCAGGTCTGGGCCTCAAACTTCAGCAGGCCAGTTGGGAGTCCAGCACCTTAAGCACCGCTCTACCTGCCCGCCCCATGGGAACCTTTTAAAAAATATTTATTTATTGGGGCCAGCAGGTGGTGTGGTGGTTAAAGCCACTGGACTCCCACATGGTCGACCTAGATTTGAGTCCCAGAGCTGGCAGTTTGCTCTCTCGCCACATTCTGTTAGCAGTGCGCACGTGTGTCACGCCCGGCTGGCTTCTGACTGGCTGCGGGGCCTGCGCGGTTGGTAAATGGCTTGGGTGGCAGGAAAGTTCAGTCCCTTGTGACCGAGCCTTCAGGGCTATGTGCAGTGACTTCCACGGGGCTGAGTCTGGGACAGAGGCAGCCCAAGATGCCGGAACAAATGAGCACGGCTGTTTCTGTGAAATTCCAATTTGGCCTGCAGGCCATACATAGATAACTCTTACAGTCAGAACAAGTCTAGCAGCCAAAAGATGGGAGTCTGGCATGCTCCTTGCCCGACTTGAAGGTAGAAGTTCCTTGGAAGAAATAGAACTATATTTGTTTGCTGATGAAGAGTCACCTGTGCATAGTGATATTCTTGAATTTCATGGTCCATAAGGAACTGGAAAAACAGAAATGCTCTGTCATTTAACAACACGATATATACTTCCAAAATCAGAAGGTGGACTGGAAGTTGAAGTCCCATTTATTGATACTGATTACCACTTCGATATACTCCAGCTTGCTACCATTCTTGAACATAGACCGTCTGAAAGCTCTGAAGAAATAATCAAGTTCTGCCTTGGAAGACTTTCTGGTATACTGCAGTAGTAGCACCCAGTTGCTCCTCACTCTATTCTCTGGAAACTATGTTCTGTAGTCACTCATCCCTCTGTCTTCTGATTTTGGATAGCCTGTCTGCTTTTTACTGGATAGACCAGGCCAGTGGAGGAGAAAGTGTTAACTTGCAGGAGTCTACTCTGAAGAAATGTTCTC